TCAACGAATCTGGAGGACCCTTCATACTGCAAGATGCTTAATTTTTATAAAATATTTCATGTGAGAAGGCCGCATACCTTTCATCTCTCCCTCAAACAAATCAAAAGTCTGGATAATTGACTGTAACAGTCGCCAGTTCACTCATGAATTGTCATGTCGTTTCTGTTGAGTGGCTTTCCCTCTGAATGTCACTGTCCAAGACATGCGTCTTTCATTCCCATAGCATAGAGCCTTCTAGATACATCCCCTTTCTCAAAAAGGAAACCAAATCGTTAGGGACTGTTTTTCGCCAAATTTAAACGATTATTGAGACCCTTGGGCTAGGGGAGGAAAGAAAACACAGGCCCTTGACCCTAATCAATAAAAATGTTTAGGTAAATCTAGCCTAAGCTTAGGGGGTTCTTTGCTGAGGTTATTTTGACACCCTATATCTAGGTCCGGTGTTTTCTTGCTCCCCGAGGCCTTGGGGACTTTGACGGGTGCGCGGTCCAGGGCCACCATTTCCATTCTGGGGAATAGCTTCAGAATGATGATTCATGACTTTGCGCCAGGACCAGGGGTTTGGCGCTCGGCTCTCCATACACTAAACAAGCTTATATCAAAGCTGAATGTGAAGGGTCCTGTCGTAGGATTTAAAGATCCAACGTCAACCGCTGAAGAGTGTTGTGTTACATCTACATATTTCGTGATTATCAAGTATTAGCTTTGACTTTTCACTCATCTTCATCATGAGCAGCTCTGGTATGCTCACAGCTGCACTAGACCTAAGATACCTAAATACTAACAAGACTCAGGAGAACGCCCAATTGATGGCTATGTCGACCCAAACTTTCCCAACCCTGACGGCAAATGGGATACGCCTGTAATCATTTACGGTTACACGCCCGCATTCTCTCTCGCCGTTTTCGCTGCAGCCTGGTTCGCCCTCTTCCTCGTCGTCCACCTGGTTCAGACCATCCGCTTTCGCAGCTGGTACTTTATCACATTTCCAATTGGTCTTCTCTTTGAGATTGTGGGCTATGTTGCTCGTTCACTCTCAGCCAAGAAGGATCCGTACCATCTGCTGTACTTTATCCTCAACTACTTCTTCATCGTCACGGCGCCTGTGTTCCTTGCCGCTGGCGTGTACACTATTCTCTCCGCACTGATCCCTCGACTTGGAAGACGATATTCATTCTTGCCACCAAAGTTTATTCTTTGGTTCTTTATCACTTCTGATGTTATTGCTACTGTTGTGCAGATCACCGGTGCTGCTCTGATTGGTGTAAGACAGTCGAACCGTGATGATCCAACGGACGCCAATAATATTCTTCTCGGAGGTCTGGCATACCAGGTTTTCTCCCTCGGTGTGTTCGTTATCCTCACGGCTTCATTCCTTTTCCGTGCTCGAAGGGAGGTTACTTCACGCGGCAAGAAGCTCAGCTTGTTCTGCGTAGCCTTCGGAGTGGCTACCATTATGATTTATCTACGAACCTGCTTCCGTCTCGCAGAGACAGCTGAAGGCCTTGGGGGACATTTGTATTCGAACGAGATCTTCTTTGCTTGTCTGGAATTTGCTCCTGTGGCCTTGGCTGTCTTGCTCTTTGCTATCTGGCATCCTGGAAGATGTGTCGGCAAGAAGGTGAGGGTTCAGGATTTGGAAAAGGAACAGACCCGAGTTCAGGACTTTTAATTTGTGAAAAGAGATACCCATTGTCAGTCAATTCATAGCAGTAATCTTGAATCAAGTTTGTTGGATAGAAACGTGATCTTCAGCTAGGTACCCTACCTCTCGACGACAGGTACCTTAGGCCCTGTAAGTTAGCTGCCAAGCTTAGTGGCCGTCTACCCGCTGGAACCGAAACCTTCAGCGGTGGAGTTCCCTCCACCTTCCGGGGGTTCTTACAACTCCAGCAAGCTCCAAGAATGCCAGCTCATCCTCATCATCAACAACCTCACAAACAAGTACACGATGCCGCCTCTTCCCCCTTCCGCAAACCCTCTACCGCGGCTAATCACATACTACCAAACTCATCATGACTCCTCCGGAAATCTCATTTCTCCCCTCTCCCTCATCACACAACCCGGTATCGCCATAACCCACGTCATTGTCGCCGCCATTCACATCAACGATGATCCTCAAAAGATTACGCTCAATGATTACCATCCATCTCACCCAATTTTCCAGACTATGTGGGCTGAGCTACGTGTACTACAAGCCTCAGGTGTGAAAGTGATGGGCATGCTAGGTGGTGCTTGTAAGGGCAGCTATGCACGCCTGGATGCCGACCAAGAGATGTTTGATCGGTACTACGGCCCCGTGAAAGACATGATTCGAGAGCGGGGTCTGGACGGCCTGGATCTGGACGTCGAAGAGGAAATGACTCTGGGAGGAATTGTGCGGTTGATAGACCGTCTACGCAGCGATTTTGGGCCAACTTTCATCATCACCCTGGCCCCCGTCGCTATGTCTCTTCTTGACTTCACCAAGAATCTCAGCGGCTTCGACTACGAGGCCCTCGAAGTGATGCGCGGTCGTGATATCGCCTGGTACAACACACAATTCTACTGCGGCTGGGGAGATTGCAGCAATCCCCTTATGTACGATCTCATGGTCCGCAAGGGCTGGCCACCCGAGAAGATCGTCATCGGACTTGTCACCAACCCCGAGAACGGAAGCGGCTATGTGCCGATGAACCCTCTCAATATGGTGCTCACGACGTTGCGGGGGCGATATGGATCGTTTGGGGGTATCATGGGCTGGGAGTACTTCAACAGTATGCCTGGAGGAAAAGAAAGACCATGGGAGTGGGCCAGGGAGATGACCAAGTTGTTGAGAGGGCATTTGCTATCGGCGCCTCCACAGGCTACACTGCCAGTACAACCGGCAGTGGTGGAAGGCGGCTCGACAGCAAAGAACGAAGACGTTGATCCAGATGGACCTGGTGGACAAGATGCACCAGTGCCAAAACAGTTTGACTACTACTCGGATGGGCTTGATGGTTAGTCATAGAAAGCAAGCTGGTCCAGGGACAGATGAGTTTCAAATTGCGGGCGATAGCGACTATATGGCCCTTCACAGCTCACTACGCTGCAATGAATAGACCTGTGTTATAGAGACAGTGTGGTTACCCTCACCAGGGCCCTAAGTAGCAGAGGAAGAACCGTGATCGGGTCCTCCGCCGAGCTGCTTAGCGATCCGTTCTCCCAAACTGAGACTTTGACACGGGAGGAAATAAGCCACAGGGCAAGGGTTTTTCAAGCCATGCGTAACGAATTTGATTCTCGCCTATTAGATGAAGTCAAACAATCCATCATCAACCATTTACCACAAGATGACGCAAACGAGATCCCATATGTTGTCGATATGGATTTCGGCCACGACTTCGCTGAAGATGTGGGGGAGATATCTGAGACTGACGCAGAGTCTCAATTTACAGCCCAAGTTGAGTCGCCAGATCGTTGAGACGTTGCCTTACGAAGTTCAAGACGTCGCTAAAAATATATCTACCCTCCAATATGGAACTGCTGCACGGGATACCATGGAGGCCTGGCTTGCTATTGGGACTAGCGAATCTGTCCTCGGCACTACATTCCTCCAAAAGTCTATCTGTCAGTTGTTTGTAGATGAGGAGACAATGGATCACAAGCTAAAACCAAGATGTGGGATCCTCATCATCTCACCCGTCATCAAAAGGGTGAAGTTCACTCGCGTTTCAAGGACTTAACTCGCCAGGTTCAGCGTTATGCCAAAGAAATCTAGCTCAGCCGCGTTGTGTGCGAAGTCCGTTCAATGGTTGCACCTGAAGGTATCATGCTTCGAACCTATTTGACAGTGTCCGCCCTGCACAGCACATCAAGGAACCAAGTCATGAGAAATTGATACCAATCGAAGCTGATTGTGTCTGGTGGAGAAGTGATGGGTTTGACTCAGCGGAACTAGCTATTGCTCACGACGAACTGAAGCATGCTACTGGCTGGTATGATGACGACTTCCGCGGTTCATCGACAGTGATGAAGCAGCGTCACACCGAAGCTAAGACACAAGCAAGACGCCGACATTCCAAAACATACAAGACCCTTGCATTCTCAGCTGAGAGGGAACTCGCTTTCCCCATCCCCATGAGAAACAAATATCCTAGCTTGATAGCAAATATTCAGCATGGGTCTCAGGTGGATGACAGAAACAGGTTTTGGAGTAAGTCGTTTTGCCTTTGGTGGTCTATCTGAGTTGGAGCTCTCTGCTCATTATTGACCCCTGATCGAAACACGTCCCGCGCCCAGCCATACGGGGGTCGGCCGAAGGGGGGAGGAGTGATCCATCATGTCAAGAATGAAGGACGTGGAAAGCGAAGCAGTTATTGGGGCAACGGGAACGCAATGAGTCTCAATCAGTTATTATCATCAGAGGCCTCCTCATCAGAGGCTTCCTGACTATTGATATGTATGTACTTTCTGTTCACAAATACGTGATCAATGTGGTATCATACTAGTATCAGAAATCTGTATGAAGTCATAATTATGAGCCATGTCATTCACAATTGCTCTATGTCCATGGATAGCACTGAGAATAGTGATCTTGATTGAAGGTCAGATATTTACATTCCAGCCCCTTGAAATACCCAGCCTGTGCAAATTCAACCGCATTGGAAATCAATGCCCCTATTACTGTACTGTAATCGACTCCGTTTCCCAGTTCAAAAGGGAACCAAAACAAATTAATTCAGAGGAAGTCCTTCTCCGATAGCCCAAATTGATGACAAGATACCCCTGTGAGGGCAGGTCTTTCCTCATCGCCACTAAAATGGCTACGCCTGGCTGGTTATGCTTCCCGTGATTTCTGATGCATGTATCAGCAATGAGGCCAAGTCCTAATTGAGACGTAAGTATTTGCAGCAAGGGGGGTGGGTGGTTGGGACTAAGGTATTCGTTCAAAATGCCTTCAGCTTTGACACCACTCCTTATTGACTGTGTCATATTAGAGATGCCGGTTGCTACTTTTGGCACTTATCAAGGCTAATTCACTCAGGTCTGTTTGCCTGTCGTGGGTGATGAGTGTCCCCCAGTAGCTGGGTTTGTGGATAGTGCTGCAATGCCGGGTCTATCAAAGTCCTGGTAGGATCGAAACCGCCCTGCGAAACAAGAGTCCCTCTGGGAAGGGTATTGGGTTGTGCTGTTCCTGACCCTGCGATCATGGGGGCACGTCCTCCCGTGGAATTGGTGACAGAATATTGTTCAGTGGCATTGGGAAGGGTACGGTTCAAATGGAGAGCCGTACCCGTATACCTAGGCGTGGCCTGCCACTGAGAGTACCGCGGACTTTGCTCCTGGGGCTGATGAAGTTTCTGCCAGACACTCAACATAGCATCTTCCATCTGCCCTATTACTAGGCCCTGGGAATCAATCTGATGCTGCTGTTCTTCGACTCTTCTTTGTAGTTCGCTCGTTGTTTCCTTTGCTTCTTGTATCTCCTCGCGATTAGTTTCAGTGGTAGATCTCAAATCGTCCACCGATCGCTTGAGATCGTCCATTTCCTCTGGCATTATCGAAGCTGTGAGTTCGTTGACACACTCTACGATTTTGTCCATCACTTCCCGAATCTTGGCCCTGCGGTCTGCAGTTCGGGTGAGTTCAATACTCTCTGCTGACACATCTTGGGGGCCTCCTCTACCCCCCTGATCTCTTCTCTGCAGAAGGCTGTCGTTATTCATGGGTAGGGGGGTTCCGATATGTGTGTCATTGGATGGAAACCCTGCGATTTGACGACTGATCATAGAAGACATGTCTTTGGGTATATCCGCGATTTCTTTGCGGACATCTTCCATTCTGTCCAGTATGGAACGTCGCTGCGGCGTTCTTTGGGGGGGACCAATGGCCAACGAGTGGTGAGTGGGTGGGTGCATCTTGGCTACTATATGATTAGACATGTATCAATATAGAGGCCATTCTAACTTACAAGGGACTGCTGTTCTTTTAGCTCGTTTGGGTCCCCCTGGGGTACCTGAGTGTGCCCGCTTTCGGGAGTCCGAGTCTATGTGGGTTTGTGCTTCCAGATCATCTACCTCTCCGCCTTCACTCGTCGCTAGGGAGCCTTGAAGGGGTTTCCCCTATTGCAGTTAGTATGTGGAAGAATTTACCCAGTATTCAGAAAACTTACGGAATGTTCTTCAGGTTTGATGCACAACGGCCCGTCGTCGGACTCCGCATTAGCCATCTGGATTCCTTTGAGCTGTTGATCTGGGCAAACCCAAGAACTTGCGACGATCTGAGGAAATTGTACAGCTAATTTAGCCTGCAACTTTGCCAATTTCTCGATCCCGTAGTGTGTTCGCATCGCGATCCACAGCGCCCATGTCAACTCGTCCTTTCTCTTCCAGAACTTGTGGCCACTGGGACCAGAGCGGTTGGTTTCATTCGTCTTGACATCCCCGCCACTGATAAGTCCCAGTAGTTCCCTTTTTGTATCTGTATCCCAGTATTCGTTGTACTTGATCCAGTTCGCCTGGAATCGCTTCAGGAGGCGTGTATCATCCGGGTCTGGATATTGCTCCTTTATAGCAGCAGACTCAAGGTCTGGAAAAGCTAAGCCGTGTCCACTCATGGTTTAGGTACTGGAGCTCGAGTTCTGTGTGAAGTACTAAGAGTTAGGAACTAAGGCTTCATTTCCGCAAGTGAGAAGATGTAGACCTTCTGATGGGTCTTGGTTATCCGTGCAGTCGGGTACGAGGGCGAAAAGAGTTCCCAGTTTCTGGGTGATTCAAGACGATCAAGTTGTATACGATTATCTCGTGCCTCTAGTGAAGATGTAGCCGTGATATGGTTGCGTGGCAAGATGGAAAAGGGAAACGAGGATAAAGAAAAAAGAAAGAACAATGGTGGAGGGAACAATGATATATTGATAACTACTGTGCATAAAATAAGTAAAGTAGTGGAGCAGACGAGAATAGTTATAAAATAATTGCAGTGCTGAAAATCGTTATGATAAACTGTTGCTGCGTAGTGCCAGTGTCACTGTCACTACGAATTGCAAAATTATTCCTACCTTACCTCTATGGTTCTGCAACTCTCAACACCTTGACCCCCAAAAATTTAAACATTTATACCAACAATATTAGTAGTTAGAAGCTATCATCCCTTACACAGCCCCTGTTCTGGGTATTTGATCTTTTCGGCTTTAAGCTGGCGCAATGCCTGTCACTAAATGCGGCTAACTAAGCACATTCAACAGATCACATCCTAACATTTCTCACAAAGCTGAGAGGCTTTGTGAGATGAGTCGTCCACTTTGCAACTTCCTGCAAAAATGAGGGTTGGATTGAGACCTAGTACTCAGTTGTCAGCTCAGGTCCAGCCACTTTGTCTCGCTGCTGGTGCCACCATAATAGCGCTCATCCTCAACGCTCAACATGTCCGAAGGATCCTAGTCACAACATCACAATATTTGCACGACTTGCTCTCGAAGGCTCTTTTCGATGTTTCTCGGGCGCTTTACGGGTTCAAGTACGATGACAGCATTTTGGATCAACATATACGCTTGATTCATCTATCAGATTCAGCATCCGGCTCATCTCCTAGCCTCACACTCCATACCTTCAAACTTGATGAATGTCCGCCATACATCGCCCTTTCTTACACCTGGGGTCCGGGTGCGCAGAACACGATCTTCGACCAGGGTAGAATTCTTCTGAATGCAAGGCCCTTTCCGGTGTTACCAAACTTACACCATGCAATCAGGCAATTATGCATCTCAAGATCAAACCAGTACCTTTGGGTCGATGGAATCTGCATCAACCAAAGAAGCCTCCCCGAGCGCTCTGCTCAAGTAGCAATAATGGATCTCATATACAACGGAGCCGCTGAGACAATAATATGGCTTGGCCTCGCCACGGATGAAACAGCTAGGGCTATCGAGCTCGTTCAAAAGATTGCGAAAGGCGCTGAGTCTAAGATCATCGAATGGGGAAGGGTTCAATCATACGGCGATGCCTATATCTTGGATGACCCTGAGCTTCTGAACAGGAATGGCCTTCCAAATCTTACCGAGAAAGATTGGCTGACTCTTCGAGATATCTACATAAGGCCGTGGTTCGGACGTGTCTGGATGCTTCAAGAAGTTGCCCTCTCTCGTAATCCAAGAGTTCTCATCGGCCATCACGAAATAGCATGGGATTCGGTCGGCGATACCGCTGGGCTGATCAACATGTCCGGCGCCCTTATCGGCTTGTTTACTGTGGGCTCCGGTACAGAAACTGCCCCTTTGATCTACTCTCTTGTTCATGCTGCTGGCCTTCATGTTACCCGCCAATGGGCCCAAGCCAAGAATAGTCGGTACAAGGAGATTCTGAGAAGCATTGACTATTCTGTTGGGATACGCCAAGACCATCCTAAAAAGCTGCTGCTCGAGCTATTGCTAAGTAGCATCGGCTTCAAGGCGACTATTCCCAGAGATCGTGTTTACTCTCTGCTTGGAATCGTAAACTTCATGGAGCGTGCGAAAGGGAGGCCTAGAGTCAACATCGTTGTAGACTACAAATCTCCTAACAATGGCATCCTTATAGATCTGGGCATGAGCTTCTTTAGAGAAACCAAATCCCTACATCTCCTATCCCTCGCCGGTATCACCAGCCGTGCCGTGCCAGCTGACTTACCAACCTGGATCCCCTCTTTCGAGACAGTTCACGTCCCCGTTCTTGGCCCCAACTATACCAGAATGCTTCCATTCGATGCCGCCGCGGGCAAAGAAGCTGACTTTACAATCGACAGGTCTCTCTTACATCTGAAAATTAAAGTCTTCAGTCCTCATCTTGGTACAATCGAAGAGCTCGGTGAGAGCTGGTCTGATGTCAGCCAAGGGAAGTTTAACGACACGATGAAGATGCTTCTTCACAGCGGTACGACCTATATACCTACGGGCCAACCAATAGTTGAAGCATTCTGGAGGACTCTCATTATGGACTGCGACTTATCCCAGAGGCCTGCACCATCACATCTCGCCCAGTCCTTCTCTAAGTGGATGCTTTTTCTCACTATCCAGGCCCTGGTCGCTTATCAGCCTAAGAACCCATCCATATATGATCAATTCGATGCCCTAGAGCCTCTTTGGACCCTGGCTAACACTCGAGACTCTACCAATACCCTCCCAAAATCTGGTGATATTATCCCGTTGTTGTTTGAACTTGGCTTACGCCACGACCCCAGCGTTCGAGTTGACACTGAATCGGAGAAGGCTGCCAGGTTCGCTTCTTGGGGCAAGACATCCGCTCCTTTCGAAGCCTTATTACGTGTCAATTTTGCTGCAAGAAGACGTATCGCGAGGACTATTCGAGGCTACTTATGTCTAGTTCCGCTTCAGGCCAAGACGGGGGATAAAATCATGATCGTCGCTGGCTGTGCAGCCCCATTGGTCCTTAGAAGATCGGGTCCTTCAGAGAGCCTCTTTCAGCTTGTCGGCGATGCTTACGTTCACGGTGCTATGTTTGGAGAGCACATCACTGGCGAGTCCTCCTGGAGAGATGTTCATCTAGTTTGAAAAGTGGCGTCATTCGGTTCATCACGCAAGACTTAACAAAGTTCAGTTGTGCTTGTGGTGAATGATATAACTATGGTCCATCATAGAGTAGCGTAAAGTCGTTGAAATACATATCGAGAAGCGAAGGAATTAATACCATATGAGCCACCAAAATTGATCATCCCCTTTCTCATTCCTCATAAGCCACATGACCACCACACGCAGTAAAACCCACTACACACAGGATACAGATGAAAAATACTGCCCTTCCATTCTACCAACATGCCATCCACGGACTGCACTGGGCCTGAATGTTGTAGCTGTTGTAGAGAGGGTAGGTTCCCTTGACAGCTTCCAGAACCGGATCAAAAAACTCCTTGTTGAAACGCTCGGATTGGCAAGATGAGCAGGGGCCAGTGAGGAAGTTGTCGTATGTAGTGTTATATGCGAGGTAGCCGATGGTTTTCTGATGAGAAACATCAACAGCCTGCAGACTGAAAGACTCAGGCATGACCACCCAATGATCCGCTGTGGAGTTGCGTTTTCCTGGTACGGTTGGGTTCTGGTTGAAGAATGTGCTGTTCATGCCAAGATCATGGAGAGCTTTGATCATGATAAGCGTCAAATGAGAGTCAGAATCAATTTGGATGCCAGCACAATCGATGTTGATGGTGTACCCGTCCCCTTTCACCGGTTCACCCACGCACTTTCCAGTTTCCCGATCCCAGGAAAACTTCTCGATAAAGGCTTGCCAAGTGTTGGGCCAATTGATGAAACGAGGGCTGAGGAGAATAGACACAAATAGCTTGCCAGCATTGGGGTCAGCTGGAGGGTTTGGCTCACCACCTGTGGGAGTAGGTGTTGCTGGGGGCTGCGAGACAAATGTAGTCGTGGCAGGCGGGGCAGAAGATGTTTCCAAGGTAGAAGTGGGATTTTCCATGCCACTGGGGCGAGGAGGGGCGCGGTTATCACGGTTGCAGACAAAGGCAGTCAAGCAGACCGCATCAGCGTTGACAGTCGTGTTGATTGCTGCGCTGACAGGGCGACCACGGTAGGCATAGCAGGTAAGTTCTTGACCGCCTTCCTTGGTGGTGACGGCAGACCCAGCTGGTTGACCATCAGCGATTCTTGGGTTGATGTAAGCTGTCCAGACGACACCATTAGACAGCTTGACGGTGGTTCCCTTGGGATTCCAGGGGTAGGTTCCATCTGCATAAGGAACTTCAACCTCCAGATCGGGTGGAGGGGGAAACTTGGAGACATCGTCAGGCCACTGAATGTCCTGGTACCAGTTCACCTGGCGAGAAGTAGACCATCCAGGGTGGGCTTTGTTGTCGCCAATGCCACAATCGGCAAGAATCAGATCCTCATTGGGGTGACGAATTTGGGCCTGGGCAGTTGCCAGAAGGGCACCAACGACCGCCAACTTGACGGAGACCATGTTTTTGTATGAAGGGTTTGCTTCAGGAATGTAGTCCCGGGTCTTAGTTGCAGGCTATTGAGATTGAATGAGTGAGTTGAGGCAACAGATTGAAGGATTTGTGAGAACTGAGGAGATGCAGATGTGTATGAAGGAAGATGAAAAGGAGAAGAGAAGAGAACAGACGGGGAAGAATCTTAAAAAGGCTGGCATTCTGTCATAGGGAAGAACTTTAACTGAGTTCCTTCTTCCTCAGCTACAGTCGCTTCATTCTGAGGACCCTGTTGGGGACTTCTGAGGTCATTGTCTTGTGTCTTGGGCAGGAGCCTGTCCATCGCGAACAGGCGATTTGGACTGGGGAGGAAAGAACACAGATACAGATGACGTGGACAATACTCGTCGCCTGCCTTCAGAACCTATATTTCGGTATGACCACATTACTTCCCGCGTCATGTGAAGGTTGTTGGGGTTCAACGTTCGTGGTGGAAAGAGAGATCATCGACGGTGTTCGAAGAACGAAGACCACAATGGCCTCACTCAAGTATCTCTGTGTGTCTGAGCAGAGTTGCTTTACCCAAAGATCCGGAATCTAGGAATTAGCTGGCTTCAATATTTGTATTGGTAAGGTAGAATTGGATTCTAGTAAATGTCACCAAGGTGATATCACAATTTC